CAGAGCTTCTGTGAAGTGCTTAAAGCTTAGTTCATCCACTTGGAAAACCTTGGGACTGGTATAACCTGACATTCTGTAGGGTCTTTGGACCCTTGTGCTGGCATCTGCCAGCTCTGGAGAACAAGAACTGCTATACTACTATGGCAAGTATGACACTCCTGCCATTACCAGGTTTTAGGGTTGAGACTCAGTATATTCTCTTCTGATTCTTCTGAGGTGTTTCCTCCTAAAGAAACAGGAAAGAAAACAGCAGAAAAGAAGGCTTCCCACCACCATTCAGTCCTTTGCATAGTAATCTGCAGTATGATATTGGTGTCTCTGATTTACAGAGCAGCCACCCTTACACAGCCAGTGAGGACAGAGCTGGGATTTCCAGCCCACATTTGTGTAACTCTAGAACGCATGCTATCCCCTTCCTCAATTCTGGCCAGGCCCTGGCCGCACGGATGCCAGTCCACATAGCATTTTAGATTCAAAGCCATAGAGCTAGAGGAGACCTTGACAAACCTGAACCAGTTCCTTCTTTGCCAGAATGAAATTACCACTGCCTGGAGACAAGTTCTTCCCCTTCCTTCCCTTTGGGATAAGGAACCTTTAAATCACATTACCCACCAGTTAAGGGCCAAGGCTTAAGTCACACATGGCTTCAGAACACAGCTCTGAGTGACCTTGAACAAATCATTCTAACTACAGTTTCTTCCTCTGCAACATGGGCATAAAATATCTGCACCTAAACTAATAATTACTAGTTTAAACACCAGGTATCTTTTAGGCTAGTGCCTGGCATGTCATTGGGACCCCAGGTCCAGCTCTAGTGAGGCCCAGGGGATGTCTTTATTCACAGGTCCGTGAGTATCCCCAAAGAGATCTCCTGAGCCAGCTTTCAGCCCTTGTGTATGCTAGTTAGCAAGGAGGAAAATTGTTCTAGACATGTTGGTAAGCTGCCTGGGAAGAGCTGAAGCTTACCAGGAGTGTTGTCCTTGACCCTTCCCTCCACAGTCCCCTGATGCACCCTTGCGTTGGCACTCAGGGTCACACGTCTGGAGCACTTAGGCTACACCTGTTCCCGTGCCATACCCTCTGAAGTCCACCATCTCTGAGGCCCAGCCTCCCCTGATTCCGTTACTGTGCTTAACTGTTCTAGTGGGTTCAGAAAATCTCTAGATCTTCAAAAAGTATTACTATAAAAGCCGGGCTTTGTGCCACAAGCCTGTAATCCCAGCACTCTGGAGGCTGAGGCAGGAGGATCGCAAGTTCGAGGCCAGCCTGGGCTACAGATTGAGTTCGGGGCCAGCATGAACTACAAAGGAAGACCCTGCCTCAAAAAAAAAAAAAGTATTATTATAGTCTATGGTAAAGCAGTCAAATAATACATAAAAATATACAAAAATATATCTCACCTTGGCTCCTTAGTTCTATTTCCCGGCAGTATCCATTGTTGAGTTTCTTCTGGAGATTTCCTATGCATATTTTTAAAAGTGTATATATAATCTTTTTTTTAAGTCAAAATAGGATCATATTATATATATATATAGTACTGCAGTTTGCTTTTCTTGGATAACATACACATCTTTCTCAGCAGGTTTGGGTCTATTCTAAAAGGCTGCATAGTACTACAATAGACAAAACATAATTAACCAGTCCTTTCTTGGTAGACATTTAGATTGTTTCCTCTTCTGGGGTGTGTGGGTGTTTTGATTTTTGTGGTTTCATTTCTTGCTGCTATGCATGTTTCCACAGGGACCCTTGGTGAACTCATTTCTTTTTGTGAATTTATTTGAATATCTCTGGAGGGTAAATCCTCAGAACTGGAATTGCTGGGCCACAGGCATGTGTATTTCCCTTTTCATTGTTGTTGGTGGTTTCATGCTTTTTTTCTGCACAGCTGCTGGGCCCATGGAGAGTCTGCAGTAGAGAAGCCCCTCTTGAGATGTACACTTGAGCAGACACGTGATGAATGTGCTCTCACTGATGCATGGACAGTGTCTAGACTCCTGGATTTCAATACTGGCCGGCAGGCCTCTCAGTGGCTCAGAGCAGGGGTCCCTTCATGTGGGCCCACCCACCTGGATGAGCTGGGTGGCAGGTTGAGGGGCCCTCCACAGTGCCTGCCATTTGTCTCGGTAATTATGCCAGGCAGCCTCTTGCCCTTCTGAACGGCCACAGCCACTAGCCTTCCATAAAACTTCAGAAAGTGAATTGTATCATTCACTGTCAAAGTTGTGAAATTTAATTTAAGTTTTTATAGAGGCAGTTAAAGAAAAGCCGTTTGTTGGCCCTGTTCCAAATTGCCTTTCTCACAGGATGATTTTAGTGATTTTTGCATTGAAAACAGTATAAAGAGAGAATTACATCCACCTGGACCCAGCCTGGGCTTTCCTGTGTCACTCTGGAAATCTGGGATGCAAGGAAGCATAACATTTATCTAGTGCCTCCTACATGCTGACTTCCACAGTCTTCAGGGGAATTCTCCTCAGTGGCAACACTGTCTTCCCATCCCATCCACCACCCCCGCCCCCATGCCCTTATCTAGCTGAGGAGGCTGTGAGCATGTATCCAGGTCACTCAGTAGACAGATGGTGGCTCTCAGACTTAACCAATCCCTCTTCAGTCACTTGCTGCTTTCTCCTTGCCTTATTTGGACTATCATGGGTGGTAAGACTTGAACTTCACTTAGGACTCCATGGCAAGCCTTGTTCCCAGGCTGAGTCACCACACAAAGCAATAACTGATGTTTTGAGTTGAGGGGCCCCTGAGTCACATGCTCATGCCAGAATCTCCCTTGTTGCAATCTTCTCTTCTAGCCTAAGTGAGCTGGAACAGGCTGGCATGACAGGGGAGTGGTGTCAGTGACACTCTCTGCCATCCCTGCACATAACAGAAGGTCCCCTGCAGCGCCAAGTGCCACCATGAATGTCTCCCAAGCCAGTGTGCTTGGCTGCTTCTCCAGACTGCATCTCTGGATAGAGGATACCAAGCCAGCTCAGCCCGAGAAAGAGCTATTAAGCCTGTCCCTTCCTTCTCTGACACCCACACATTGTGACAGATTATTTGTTGTCACATCAGCTGTTTCCGGAGACAGGGAGTGGGTGCTGAGCTTGTGGCAGGGCTGGCAGTGCTGGCCTGGATTCTGTTCTCAGAAGCCCTCAGAGTGCTTGCTGGTGAAGCCCTTTGCCCCAGGAATAACCAGACTGCTTTACCATTCACAAGGCCTGGGTTCCTCACTCCATTGATCTATTTACCAGAGGAACCTACAGAGAGAATCTCTGTCCCCCTCTGTCTGCATAGCCCCAAGGCTTTCTTCCAGAACTGCTCTTGGACTCATCCCATGCTCTGCTTACACCCGTTAAACAGGCCATAGTGGTACCCACTGGGGACTTCATCAGGGCAACGAAGAGGGACATCAGTGATTACACAGTCCCCTTGTGTGGGAGTAATCCATGAATCCTGTCTCCTAGTCCTGGATCCCTGAGCTGCAGACATGGGCCTTTTTAAACCCCTTCTGGTCCCCAGGCCTGCTGTGCTCAGTGTGTGAGAGTCCTGCTGAGAAAAGGCAGTAGCAGAGGATGGTCTTTTGCAGATGTGCTGGGGAGCAGGCTGGGCACAGGGCCTTCTTTCTGAGCACCCCTCCCACTTCCCACTGGCTGAGTCACTTCCTCTCTGGCTGCTGCAGGTATTCTCCCACAGGCCCAGAGCGGGGCAGCTTTGGGGGGTGGGGCTCACCCTGTGCACAAAGAGAACTCTAGTTAGAAGCAGCCTGTTCACCCATAACCCCCAAGATAGTGAAACACGATGTTTAGAGAATTGATGTTATTATGCATTCTTGACAAATTGGGGCTAGGCATATCCTGCATTTTAAAAATGATCAAAATCATCACTCTGTTTAGGAACCATGAAAATGACAGCACATACGTGAATCTGTGTCATCACGGAGTCCTGGCTCAAGTCAAAGGATTACTAGTCCTCCTGTCTATCTGCCTCCCCATCCCCCCAGCGTCCATCCTGAGCACAAAGCAAATGACATTCAGTGGCTCCTTCAGTGTCCCAGGGAAAGGGTTTGGTCCTCCTTCAGCAGTGGCTCTCATTTAGACTCAGTGGAAATGCCCCAAAACAGCTTGCTAGCAGTAGAAGAGACTAGGCCTCAGGGAGCCTCCTGTCTTCAGACTCTAGTTTCTCAGTAGTAAAAGGAAGGACAAAGAGCTGAAGATGTAGCTCACAGGTACAGCCAGAACTTGTCTAGCTTGTGTGCGGCTTTGGGTCTATCCCAGCACTATACATGGACAAAGGGGAGAAAGTTATGAGAATTAAAGAATCTGGGAAACCCCACGAATGGTTCCTGGTAAGTAGGAAGTACCCATCAAATGAAAGTTTAGACGGTTATATGCCTGTAGTGGCACATGCATGAAATCTTAGCTAATCAGGAGGCTGAGGCAAGAGGATGGAAAGTTCAAGGCCAGCCTGGATGTCTTAGCAAGACCCTGTCTTTAAAAAAAAAAACATACATTGGGGCCGGGATTTAGCTCAGTGGTTCTGGCGCCTGCCATGCAAACGCAAGGTCCAGAGTTCGATCCAAGTACCAAAAAAAAAAGCATACGTGCCTGGAAAGACCTGGCCACCAAGGAGGTCACCTCTGCACAGAGCAGGGAACCCTTGGCAAAGACATCAGGACACCATCAGCCGTGGGATCATATCTGATCCTTCAGCTGTCCTGTGGATGAAGGAGTGAGTGTCACCATCCCTGTTTTACAGATGAGGAAACTGAGGCCCACGAAGGGTGAGTGACTGGTGTAGGATCACAAAGGCAAACCTGCCTCACATGACCCTACACTGATCTCTCTCTCCCGACTGGCAGTGGGTAAGTGGTCCTTGGTTTTGTGGGCTACAACTTCCTCTTGGTTTCCTGAGTTTACTGTGGATGGAGAAAGGTGTGAGGGAAGTTCGTGGCCCTGGCAGAAGCATCTAAATGTGAGTATTGAGGTGCAATGGGGGTAGCTTCGAGAAGGCTGGGAGGAGGAGGGCTCAGTAACTCAGCCTGTGACTGCCACCCTTTTCTCCAGAGACCCCACTCAGGGATCCTATAGCACCTCCTCCAGGGACAAGGACGGCCATCCTCCCTCTCTGCTCACTTACTGCTCCCAGGCTCCAGAAGAGTGGTTGTCTGTAGGAAATGCAGAGGGTGCTGCCCTCTCTGCTTGCCCTTCTTAGGACCAGGCCAACTTGAGATGCAGTGGGGACAGTTGAGGAAGCAGTGTGGTCACATAGAAGGAATGTAGGCTTCAGCGAATGTGAACTGTTTACATTCCAGCTTTTCAGCAGCTAGCTGGGTACTGTAACTTTAGTAGGTCTCAGTATGTCTAAATCTCAGTTTCTTTTTCTACAAAATGATGTTTTTGTATGTTTCAGAGGGGGAAATCAGTTATAATTATGTGTTTGCAAATGCTTTATATACCATAAATCCCTGTACAAAAACTAGGATAGTTAATGTAAGAGTGTGGGCCTCCCATGTGGATTCTCTGTCTGAAATTCACTATCTAGAGAGGGCACAGAGAATTGGCCAGAGACCTAGCAGCCCTCAGGTGTGAACGCTAGCCAATAAAGCATGGATTCACCAGTTATCTTAGTTCATATTGCTCACCTCAAGTTTTGTCCTGTCATTCCAGGTGTAGTCTAAGTGTGGAATTTGGCCTCTAATGAAAATGGTAGGAATTTTTCTGACCAGCTGGAGGATCTTCACACCACAAACCTAAAGTAGTCTGGGAGACCTGCTGCTGGTGAACGGGCAGGCCAGGCTGTTACTCTCGCCTTCCCAAACCTTGCATCAGGAAAGCAGACTATGCTGGATGCAGAAGGGACGTTCCTGTGCCAGGTGCTCTGTCCTTTCTTCAGTAAGGGGTTCTGCTTGCCTCTTGCATTTGGTCCATGGGTTTGTGGGAGTGGCTCTTCAGAAGCAATCACTGACTGCTCTCATCCCCAGGTAATCAGCCAGTTAAGACCCTGCCTGTGCATTTCTGATATGGGACTTTTCCTGGTCAAACTGCCCAACACCAGTGCAGCTCCGGCCTGCAGCTGGGACACTGTCTACCACATGGAGTTGGTGCATTTTGGCTAGTCTGACTGGATATATTTCTTTTAGTCCCAGTCCAAACCCTGGTCTCTAGTTGGACAGAGTTTGCCTACAAACCACACCTTTTACCTCTTATCTATCTCTGCTGCTCCAACAAGGGCATTAGTGCCTTCTTAATGCATGACATACAGTCACTGTTTTCTCTTTCAGCAGTCTGTCAGGCACTGGGCTGGGTACAGGCAAGCAGAGACAAATGAGAGCCCATATCTGGGATGGAGAAGTCAGATAAACCAATGGTTACAGCCTTGTGGGAGGGGATGGGTGTGCTTGGGTCCTCTGGGAGCTGGAAAAGGAACGGCAGCACTGGAAGGCAGCCTTCCCACAAGACCTGCTGCAGAGGATCAGTGAGCACTGAGAGAAGAATGAGCCAGCTGGGAGAAGGGTAGGGCAGGGTGTTCATGGCACACTCAAGGACTCATGAGTTATTTGTTATGGCTGCATATAGGGTGCACAGGAGGACAGTGAAGTGGGGAGGAGCTTGGGTTTCTTTTTTCTTCTCTTTTTTTTTTTTAAATTAAAAAATTTTTTTTTTTTAGCCAGGGTCTCTCTATGTAGTCCAGGCCGGCCTTGAACTCACTATGTAGTCCAGGCTGGCCTCACGCTTGTGGCAATCCTCCTACCTCAGTCTCCTGAGTACAGGCATGCATGATCCCCAGCTTGAATTTCTTCCTGAAAACCATGGGAGGCCTTGGAGGACCTCCACTGCTAACAGACAGATACTGCAGCCTGCTGGAATCTGCTGTTTGTCCAGCTCCAGTTACCCTGGTAGCTTAGGTGGCATTTTCTAATGGAGTGTCTCCTGCATCTTTCCTACCCAACCTGAAGGAGATCAGTGTCATCGGTATCCATCACTCCCTCTCCCACACCATCTGATGAGGAGAAACCCTCAGGATGCGCCGCAAAAAGGCAGTCAGATGGTGGACCTAGGAACTGCATGGAGGCTCCCATTTTTCCTATCTTTGGCCATACAACATTAAACTCGTATTCATGCTAGGGTGGCTCTACCCAATAAGTATGAGGTTCCAGGGCTGCCACTGTGGCTGTGTACCCAAAGGAAGACCCTTTGAACCTGTGAATCGGTCTTGAGAGCTATTCCAGAGGTTAGACTTTCTCCTTTGCTCCCAAGGACCTGAGAGTAAATTCCAGACATTGTGACCCTTCTCCATTAAACACTTTATGCATGTGTCACCTAAGAACAAGCACATAGGACATTGTATTATGTAACCACAATAGTTTTCAAATTCAGGAAATGTAACTAGTAGGATAATATTATCTAATATATGGTCTATATTCAGATTTTGCCAAATGCTCAGCCATTTCCTTTCTAACTTTTTTTTTCCAGGATCACCCCTTGTTTTTATTTTGTGTATGTCTTTAGTTTCTGTTAGTCTAGAATAGTTCTTCTTCTCTAACATTGATTTTTTTTTTTTTTTTTGGTACCAAGGATCGAACTCTGGTCCTTGCGCTTGTGAGGCCTGCGCCAGAACCACTGAGCTAAATCCCCGGCCCTAACATTGATGTTTTTGAGTTGGATACACCATTTTGTTGAATGTACCTCAATTTGAGTTTGTCTCATGATTAGATTCAGTGTATACATTTTTGGGCAAAAAAGCATAAATAATGAGTGCATCATATCAGGAGGTACGTTATATCCATTATTGGCAATATTAACTTTGATGATTTAGTTCAGGTTGCAGCTTGTTTTTTACAGCTGAGGTGTATTTACACAGGAATATCACTGAGTTTTAAACCGTACTGTTCAGCTGTTTTAACAAACATACACAAGAAACTGTGTCATTCAATAATAAAAGTTTTACAGTCCAGTATATGTGTTCTGCCCTCCTCCCCAAGTCCTGCTGCAAAATATCCTGGAGTCTTGTTTTTTGTGACAGATCTCACTGTGTAGTTCAGATTAGCCTTGAACTCACTATGTAGCCTAGGGTGGCCTCGAACTTGCAGCAATCCTCCTGCCGCTGCCTCCTGAGTGCTGGGATTCCAGGTGTGTGCTACCAGACCCGGCTAGGGCACTGCATCTTAATTCCAAATTCCTTCCTAACTCCCACACTGCACAACAACTGAAGCATGACAGTAGAGCTCTGCAATGTGACATTACCATCTTGGACAGTCCCTTACTGTGCCCCAAGTGGATAATTGTCAGCTGGTGCACCAGCCTTTGCTTGCAGAGTAGGGTCTCTGCTTCCCCAAGGACAGTGACCAAGAGGACACCATGGTTTGTGCTTCCACTCAAGAGAAGAGCCACCCCTTCCCCCGAGCTGTACTCAGCCTTCTACTGCAGGATGCATACCTGGCCCTGCCCAGTACTCCTCCACTTCTGCATTGGCTCCAGCTCACCCCAGGTGTACTGGGCAGCTTTTCCTTGCTGTGACCAAATACCACTTAAAGGAATAAAGGTTTATTTTAGCCCAACAGTTTCAGAGGTTTCAGTCCATGATTGGCTGGCTCCAAGGCAGAACATCGTAGTGGTTGGGGAGACAGAGGAAAACTGCTCACCTAATGGCAGCCAGAAAGCAGAGTGAGAAGGAAAGAGCCAAAAAGGGAATGGCCAAGGACAGCATTTAACCTTCAAAGCCTACCTCTAGTGACCTGCTTCATCCAGTTAGGCTACACCCCCTAATAAACCCATTCAACTATGAACTCATCAGTGTATTAATCTGTTTACCTCGTGATCTGTTTACCTTTCTAGGCCATACATCGGAACACTTATGCATTAGAGACTAAGCCCTCGATGTATGAGTCTTTGGGGAACACGTTTATATTTTTGTTTGGTTTGGTTTTGGGGTTTTTTGAGACAGGGTCTTGCTGTGCAGTTCAGGCTGGCCTTGCCACTCTCACTATGTAACCCAGGCTGACCTCGAACTCAGGCAGTCCTTCTGCTGCAGCCTCCTGAGTGCAGGGATTACAGGTGTGGGCCACCAGGCCTGGGGTAACACTGTGTTTGAGCCATAACACCAAGTTTCTCTTCCCCACTGGATGAAGCATGGCACTCAGGTTGACCATCAGACCACTCACGTCTATAGTCTCAGGCACCAGTCAGCAGGTTCAAAGCCACTGAAGCCTTCATTCTGATTACGTTCCTCTTTTTGCTCCCCTATCTCCAAAACCAACTGTCCTTTTCTACTCGGGCAGGAGAAATTCAGTGCTACTGTACTTAAGCTAATCATACCATAGGTTCTCGTGCCTACCCTATCCTAAAAGGTGTACTCTGCTAAGCCTTTTGTGTAGGTTATCTCACTTCATCCTTAGAACTACCTTGTAAGTAGAGAGGCTGCTATACTCTGTAATTTGTAGATAAAGAATAAGTACCTTGTCTAACAGCTGGACAGTATGAAGTGATGGTCCTAGGGTTTGAACCCAGGTCTGACCTATTCCAGAACCCGTGGTTCCAACCTTCAGCCTCAGGGTGACTGGGCCATGCACAGGACAGCTGGGGCCCTCAGTCCATTTCACCCTCAAATGTTATACAAATGTGCTCTCCTGTGTCATGAGGCAAAAAAGACTGAGACGCATTGTTCTAACCACAGTACCTTTGGTACACTTGGGCAGAGACTTTTTCCTTCCCTCAGGATCTTGGGCCTGCCAAGATCCCTTATCAGTACATGGCAAGTAGGATTGAGGCCACAGATGGGCAGGCAGCTCTGTCCTCACTTCCAGTGCCAGGTGGACTGGGTAGAGGTGTGGGGTCCCTGACTTCAGCAGAGAGTGCCAGAAGTAAAGACCAGAAGACAGAACTGCAAGCTTAGGATCACTTTGTTTTTTCAGAAAATCTTTATTTCACACAAGTGCATTAAGTGTGTCCATTACAAGACACAACATATTGAATTATGAAGATTCATATTAGACACAATCACGTCTGTTCGTTATCAAGTGCGTACGTGTATTTGTGCGTTGTGTCTGTGCTCTGGTCATTCAGCAGTAAACCTTGATTTGAGGTCATCTGTTTAGGCGGTTACCTCTCCAAAAGTGCCCCCCTCATGTATTTATAAATGATTAATTATAATATCGTTTAAAATATTGATGTCAGTAACATTTATATTTAGTTATATATTAAATTTTCATTTCCTATTTCAATATTTCCATCATGTATTGCATCAGATGTACCAAATGTGTCTGATGATCTTAACTGTGGCTTATTTTTCGAGTAGGGCTTATATTAGAAGCATCTTGAAAAATCAGGCTGGGCTTATTTTCTAGTTAGGTCTTATTTTCGGGGAAATATATATAGCCCTAAACTTGCAGGGGATTACTTATTTTGTATTGACTTATTTCTGTTTGACAGCCAAGAGGCTCGGAAGCAGGGATTGAGACTGCTGACAGGGACAGACTGAATACTGAAGCTTTTGGCTCAGCCTGACCCTGCAGAGATATAGTCCTTTGGCTCCTTAGTAGGCATTGGCAGCTGCTGACAAAACATGGCTCCCAGCTGCGGTTATCCATCCATACACACACACAAATGCACATTCCCACAGCAAGTAATTCACAGGGCTCGGACCAGGGTTTGTTCCCTTACAGGGACTGTCCTTGTACTGTTTCTTCACCACATTCCCCAGAAACCCAAGGGTTACTGCTAGAAGCCCAGGATGAGGCTGAGTGCAGAGCCTTCTGTACTTGTCCAGGCCCTGCTACTGCCTCTGTTGGCTGAGGGAAGGAGGTTCCCTCTTCCCTGTGCCTGTGCATCCTATGGCAGGGACCATGTCTGGCTCCTTTCTGTACATATCCATGTG